TTTTTTTTTTTTTTTTTTTTTTTTTTTTTTTTTTTTTACTTGGTGCTAAATCAGTTTGAAAGATGATATCTCAAGGCCATCGCCCGAAAATAAGAAGAAAAACCCGTAATATCCAAAAATACATGTAGAGGCAAACACAGGCATGTTTAGTCCTGACATATAGTTTCGTGTGGGTGGTGCCTTTGATCGCTTGTGAACCCTCTGGACTTCCAAAAATGAATATAGAGCAAATACGGTCGTTTGCAGTCCTGACATGTAGTTTTTAGTTTTTGTGTGAGTGGTGCGTTTGATCATTCTTTGTGGTTCTGTATGTATCAGATCAGAAGCGCCGTCAGGAGCAATCGAGCGCCCGTACTCGTTTGGACAGCGAAGGCGTCCCAAGCGAGCAGGGATTTGCCACAGGGGAGAGGCTCACCACCAACCCAGCGCCACTCGTTTGGCCGAGCCGCAAGGGGGAGTTAGCGGGGGGATGAGGGGAGGGGACGGGAGATGGAAGGGGTGTGTATTCCACTCAGCCTTCCGTGGTGACGTGGCGGCCAATGACTGGATCGGGATCGCAACTGGGGAATGGCCGCGACGATGTACTCCTTGGGCTCATCCTGCGGTCACGTGGGATTGGGAAAGCTGGTAGAGCAGGGACACGTGGGCTCGGTGTCAGGCCCCGGCCCGCGCCCCGGCCCGGGCCCGGGCCCGGGCCTAGGGGTGCCCGTGCTCAAGCGCGGCTCGGCGGCAGCCTCGTTGCCAGGCCCGGGCAAGAGCAGCATCACCGCTACTCGAAAATGCACCCAGGTAATCGCTACACGCGGATGCAGTGGTGAGCTGGCAGAGAACGTGGCTGCGCTGGCAAGGGGACTCAGGAGTATGCCAGCTGGCAGCGAGCGGGGGGATGGAGTCGTCGAGGCAGCGACCATGGGGGGGAAACTTCTCTTCCCTTCGGACATGTCTTCAAGGCTAGGAGTGGTGTCTGCTGCTTCCCGTGGCTCAGCGAATGAAAGCGAGGATCTGAAAGGGTTATCGAGATTGGGAAGAGGAGGAGGAGGAGGAGGAGGAGGAAGACAAGCCGGCTTTTTGGGTGTTGTGTCTTCTTCTGCAGCTTCGTCTCCTCCTTCTCCATCCCCAGGTCGGCTGCATGCAGTCAGTGACATCTACCAAGCTGTGGAAGGCGAGCGTAGGCCCTCTGAGCTGGACTTAGCAGCAGCAGGAGCAGCAGCAAGAGGAGTAGAAGCAGCACGAGCATCAGCAGATCACAGCCGTTCGTCTGAATTCCAGCGACGTGTCGTTCATGACGCTGCGACCGAGATCCAGAGCACTGGGGTGTTCGCATCAACGGCTGCTAGTTCCGGGGGCAAGTTGGAGACAGAGATGGAGAGAGTTTGGGAGAGTGAGAGTATGATGCGGAAAGGTATTGTGAGCGACTCTAACGATACCCGTCCATGTGAAAACAGCAGGCTTGTGGCTCCCTCCCCCCCCCACACTTCCCTCCAGCTGGCACTCACTGCACTCTGCAGCTCCGAAGAGAACCTGGACTCAGAGAAAGCTGCAGCAGCTGAGTCACCACCAAGGCAAGCAGCTTCTCCCTCTACTGCCGCTAGAGTGACGACAACCAAAGCTGAACGAGGAGGAGGAGGAGGAGGAGGAGGAGGAGGAGGAGAGGGTTCAGTAGCGGAAATTGCCGCACAAAACAGCACGTCTCCTCCTTCTGGCCGTGGACGAACAGCGGCAGAAACAGTTGGCAGAGCAACAGCAGCAGCAGCAGGAGAAGGAGGAGGAGGAGGAGGAGGAGGGGGGTCAATAGCGGAAATGCACACGGAAGACAGGACGTGTCCTCCTTCTGCGCCTAGTCGAGCAACGGCAGAAACGCTTGACAGAGTAAGAGGAAGAGGAGGAGGAGGAGGAGGAGGAGGAGGAGGAGAAGGAGGGAGAGGAGGAGGGAGTTCAATAGCGGAAATGCCCACCGAAGAGAGGACGTGTCGTCCTCCTGCGCCTGGTCTAGCAACTGCTGAAACACTCGACAGGGTAAGAGGAAGAGGAGGAGGGGAAGGAGGAGGAGGAGGGGGAGAAGGAGGAGGAGGCGGGAGTCCTGATGACCGTTTGATCAAATTCTGTAGCCAGTGTGGGAGTCCTACGATTCGAATAATCCCCCCGGGATCGGATGATAGTCATTTTCGCGATGTATGCTCGGTGTGCTCCTTGGTGCATTACTCCAGTCCCAAGGTGGTGGTGGGAGCTGTGTGCATGTGGGAGGACAAGTTTCTTCTTTGCCGGCGAGCGATCGAACCCTGCCTGGGACGCTGGGGCTTCCCTCAAGGCTATCTGGAGCTCGGGGAAAGCACTCGCGAAGGGGCAACTCGGGAAGTCGCAGAGGAAGCCGGGGCTGAGGTTGAAATGGGCCCGTTGCTGGCAGTATACAACCTCCCCAATCATGTTCAGTTCGTCTACTTCTCCCGCATGAAGACACCACACATCAAAGCCGGACCCGAGAGCCTCGAAGCGAAGCTGTTCACTTGGGACGAGATTCCGTTCCAAGAGATGGCGTTTCCAACGGTCACGTGGGCTCTTGAATACTCGCGGAAAGTTCTTCACCTGAAATCCTTCCCCCCTCAGCAGCGAACCAAGGTGTTCGTCAGATCGCCCGCAGTCGACCCCACTTCCTCCTCCTCCTCCTCTTCTCCGTCCTCCTTGTACTCCTCCGCCTCTTACGTTGAAGAATGCTGATGGTGGAGAGGATGATCGATCCCTCTCTCGTTCGAAAACGAAAAAAATCCCTCTCGTGACGATCCCTGCGGACCATTATCCGAAGCTGTAAGAGAGCTCCACGTGGCACACGTGGCAGGCAGGCAGGCAGGAAGGAAGGCTCATCGGCTCAGGTTCACACTGATCTCGATCCCGTGCGCCCCCGAACGACGATCCCATCCACGCAGCTGCCACAAGTCCGCTTGCTGGCGGTCGCATCACCTCCTCTTCTCCTCCTCCTCCTCCTCCTCCTCCTCCTCCTCCTCCTCTTTTTCTCCCCCTCCTCTTCTTCTCCTCCTCCTCCTCCACTCCTCCGTCTGTAGGTTATAATCCTTGGTACTCACTGTGAAAACTGGGCGGTCCAGCGAACACCTCTCTTCCGACCTTTTTTTTTTTTTTTTTGAACTCCTCCATGTTCGGAGGTCATAGCACAAAAACTGTGGGGCAGACAGGCAGACACCATCGGCCGCGCAACTCCCAGGGCCACTTTTCGAGCTGTCGGACAACGGCCAGGGCCAGGGGTAGACTGCGTCCTTTTGGTCCGCCTCCTCCCTGCTCCCCTTCCCCCCCCCCCCGGCCCCGATTGTTATCCTCTCCCCCTTTTTCCTCAGCTGTGCTTCTTATATGGAAGAATATTCTAAGGTGTAAATAGCACCTCCGTTTGCAACCGCTTAGCCTAGTCGTGCCCGGCGTTTCCCCCCTCTTTCCAAGAGCATCCCTGCTCCTCCTCCTCCTCCTCCTCCTCCTCCTCCTCCTCCTCTTCTTCCTTCTCCTACACCTTTTCTTCTCCTCCACTTAATTCTTTTCCGTCCTCCTCCTGCGGCTCCTTCATGCATCTCCTCCTCCTCCTCCTCCTCCTCCTCCTCCCCTCTTCCTCCTCTTACTTGTACTCTTTCTCAGCGTTCCCTCTTTCATAACAGCAAGCCTCCTCCACCTCTTCCTCCTCCTCCTCCTGTTCCTCCTCCTGTTCCTCCTCCTCCTACTCCTTTTCTCCTCCTCCTCCTTCACTTGACTCTGTTTCCTCCTGCTGCGACTCCCGCATATTCCTTCTCCTCCTGCTCCTCTTACTTGTACTATTTCTTAGCGTTCCCTCTTTCTCCTCCTCCTCCTCCTTCTCCTCCTCTTCTCTTCCACGTTATCCTACTCCTTGACTACTCGTCCTCCTTCACTTACCTCTGTTCCCTCCCCCTGCTGCTGCTTCGTCATTCTCCTTCTCCTCCTCCTCCTCCTCCTCCCCCTCCTCCTCTTACTTCTACTCTTTCTCCTCCTCCTCCACCTCCTCCTTCACCACCTTCGATCTCTCTCTCACTCCCTCGGCCGCACAACTCCCTTCGCCAGTCACTTAGCCCTAAAGCAACGAGTCTCGCAGCTCCCACTCAGCTCGCTTCGCTCTGCCTTTTGATTAGCCCCCTCTGCCCCTTGTAGTTCAAGCAACCTCCTACCCTTCTCGCCCCGTTCTCTTCCTCAGCTCTACCCTATTTTGGGGTACCTCTTCTTGCTTTTCTTTCTCCTATCCTTATTGAACCCCCCCCTCTCCCCCCCCCTCTTAATTCTTGAAACACGTGTTTAATGGGCGATGATCATGCCGAAGATCTTGAAAACAACGCTCGTAACGTTGTAGGTATTTGCTCACCTTGTGCCGCATCCAGGTAGACTAGGCTATCGTGATATATATGTCCCAAGGAACCTTTTTTTTTCTTTTTTCTTTTTTATTTTAAAGCTATATTCTTCTCTCAATTTCACCTCACACTACCTACCTACCACAGGGAACCCCGTAGCAGGCAGAACCGTGTTCACGAGCATTTTCTTCTTCTTCTTTTTTTTGTTGTTGTCCCACTTAACCTTACTGCTGGTGTGCATGTCGTGCATGCACACGTGTCACTGTCCCCCCCGAGATCCCGTGTCTGTTTGTCTCGAAGCCTGGGTTTGTGTGTTTAGTGGATCACCTTACTTTCGTGTAGGCACGCCTGTACGTGAAGTGTGCATGGGCGTGTGCGTGTTTGACAAAGACGAAAGGATACGTCCCAAGTATGCGTGTGCGTGTGCCCGAGCGAGCGTATGTGGGAAGTTCTTTTTTTTTTGTCTTCTGACGGGGAATCGAATCGAATCCATCCATCCCATCTTGCGGCAGGGTTCAAATTCTGGTCTCCATATCAGAAGGCTGTTGCGTACTACTTACTGGTAGGGACTGCTGTCAGGCTTCTGCCAGAAGAAAGAAAGTTAACGTCTATGAAGAGGCGAGCTACGCGTTTCACAAGTTAAACCGACTCGGGTTAACTGAGGTGCGAATTACGTGTTTCAGAAGTTAACTCGGGTTAACTCAACAAGGTGCGAAGCACGGGTTTCACAAGTCAACTCGGGTTAACTCAGGTCTCCATAGCTTCCTACTTCGAGCACACGCTGCCAGGCACATGCGCGCGCGTTTGTGTTCTGTGTGTATCGTGTGCGTGAGTTTGTTGTCTCGTCTGTGTGTGTCGCGTGTGCGCGTGTGAGTGCGTG